GAGTCTCGCGGTAGTGTACCGCGAGCGGTAAATACCCGCATCAGGTGGCTGTGGGTGATGCGTGAGCGCACACCAACGCCCAGTCTTGCACGCCAGCGTGTGGTAACGCACGCCAGCGCGCGACGTCGCACGACAGCGGGCCGCATGGTACCAGTTGCGTCGTCCAGTGCTGATGCGCGTCCAGTGGCACGTTGTGGTGCATGGCAGCACCCAAACTGTGCCAGTCAGGTGGCAGCCGACGCACATAGCGTACGACCGTGCCACAAGTTATGCCCTGATGGGCTTATCGCACGTCTGCCATGGCCAGGTGCACATAGCACCCTCGGCCGTGGCCAGGGCAAGCCGATAGTGGCCATGCCAATACCTAACCGCACCAGCAGCTGCGCCCGTAGCCACAGCAAGGCATGGGGCGAGTCAACTGCCCACCGACCGGGTCCGATCAGACCGGCGGTCCGGCCAGACCAGTTCAGACCGGTTGATACTGGTATGACCCAATTGATATTATTTTAATCCCGGTTCAGATTTAAAGTTCAGTTTTCAGTTAAATTCCGGGTCCGGTTCAGTTCAGTAAATTCATGTCAGTTCAGTTCCGATTTTAACTTATTTCGGTTATACCGGTTAAACCCAAATGTCATGTCAAGTTCAATAGACCATCTTAACATATTTTTAAAATTATTTTATCAGTCTGGGCATAGTATTTAGTAATTGTTTATATTATTTTCAGTTTGATCAGGATACGATTATCAGCACTTCCTTTTTCAGTCAGACAGTTCAGGTGGGGACTCAGACTGGTATTACATTGATTATAATTATTCTACCATGTTTGAGGTATGTATTGTCAGTTCAGTATCCGCTCAGAATGGTCGCCGGTCCATTCTAGGTTCTAGTGGCCCTAATCTGCCCACTAGAGTGTGCACATGGTGTCCGACATTAGTTTGTGTCGGCAGATGTTCAGGTATCAGGCAGGTGTGATTTTATCTCACCATCAGTATCAGATCATGATTATTCAGACCGGTTTCATGTTCATGTTCATGCCAAGATCATGTTATTGTAATTATTTTCACTGTTTACTTCAGTATGAGTTTTCACGGAGCACAGTGTATTTTTAGTGCTCACAACCCACTTTTATCATGTTTTTCAGGTCAGGACGTCGGGCCGGAGGTGTGAG